TCACTTGTAAGAAACTCATTTTCATGCATGGTGACTTCAAAGTGGAAGAAATATGAATTAGTGATTCCAAATGTCTCCCACCTCAAAGATACAATGATATTTTTAGAATTTTAAACTGTAATAAGTGAGGTTTTCTTGTTTATAGATTCATAGAAAGTATTTTTTTTAAAGTATTTTTTTTAACCTTCACTTCACTCTTCGGTACAAAAAAGTGATTACTTCTGTTATGAACTGACTTAATAGCCCTCAAATTCAGAGGGTGAAGCCCCACATCCTAATGTGACTGTACTTGGAGATAGGCCTGAAAAGTAGGTAAAGGTCAAGTAAGATCATAGAGTAGGACCACTATCCAACAGAACTAGTGTCCTGTTAAGAAGAGGAAGAGACCCCAGAGCTTGCTACTCCACACACACAGAGAAAAGTCCATGTGGTACACAGCAAGAAGGTGACCATCTACAAGCCAGGAAAGGAGACCTCAGCAAAAACAGAATTTGCCTGTATCCTGTTCATGATGGACTTTAGACCACAGAACTGTGAGAAAATAAAACCCTGTTGTCTGAGCCACCCAGTCTGTGGTATTTTATTATGGCAGCACAAGAAGACTAGATCATCTCTAAAACTAAAGAGTTTACAATTTTTAGGTAGTTTTTACTGATAATCCAGTCGAATAACAGACAGTTACAATGATGATCCATTTATACAGGCACCTGGGTGGTTCAGTCAACTGAGTGTCCACTCTTGATTTCAGCTCAGGTCATGATCATAGAGTCGTGGGATGGAGCCCCATGTTAGGCACTGTGCCAAGTGGGGAGCCTACTTAGGATTCTATCTCTCTCTCCTTCTACCCCTCTCCCCACCTGCATGCACACACTCTCCCTCTATATTAAAACGACAAAAAAAAAAAAAAAAAAGACAACCCATTTATAAAGTGAAGAATTTGGAACAATTTGAAGAGTAATTTACTCCCTCAAATTATTTTACATGTTTTCCTAAATTAAACAAATGAAACTGTCATTTTAGAGACAGTATGCAGCTTTGACCCATAAGAGGTATCAACTATGGTGTACCTGATTCTGAGAGTAGGAGGGGATAATATCAATAGAGAAGGTCTTGAAGGAGTCTAAATAATTTAACCTTCATTAGAAAATAGAAACAGGAAGCTCTCTCTGCCCTTGGGTGCTGTCCCCATTTTTTTTTTTAATTTTTTTTTCAACGTTTTTTATTTATTTTTGGGACAGAGAGAGACAGAGCATGAACGGGGGAGGGGCAGAGAGAGAGGGAGACACAGAATCGGAAACAGGCTCCAGGCTCTGAGCCATCAGCCCAGAGCCCGACGCGGGGCTCAAACTCACGGACCGCGAGATCGTGACCTGGCTGAAGTCGGACGCTTAACCGACTGCGCCACCCAGGCGCCCCCCCATGTTTTAATAAAAATATATTTTTCCACTGAAACAAACAAAAAAAGGAAAATTGTTACATAAAACCTTGATAGAAATGTTGATTCTTTTGACACCAAACGGCATTTACTCTACATGGTAAAGAAAATTTCATTGGAACTCTCTCCTGTTCTTGTACCTTGCATCAAGATTTCATCAAATGTGATTTAATCCAGACCTTATTACTATTCAGAGTGAAAGACACATATCTACATTTGGCAGTCACACTGTCCTTAAAACTCCTGTATTTTCAGTGTAAGAAGTGAATTATTAGACCATAGGGTGGGCTAATATTTCTGCAGGATTTACTCTTTCTCTTGCTGTTAAGAATAAAGCCACTCTGGGACACGTGGATGGCTCAGTAGGTTAAGCGTCTGACTCCTGACATCAGTTCAGGTCGTGATCTCATGGTCCTGATATCAAGCCCCAGGTCAGGCTCCACACTGATAGCACAGAGCCTGCTTAGGATGGTCTCTTTCTTCCTCTCTCTGCCCCTCCCCCACTCACACACTTGCTCTCTCTCTCTCTCTCTCAAAATAAATGAACTTCAAAAAATAATAGTAATAAAGCCAAAACGACTCTGTACTTTCAGTAGAACTGTAGGAGAATATATAGGTTCTTACACATTAAGGACAATATATTAAAACACCTTGGAGGTATGCTTCTGTGTTTATATATAAATATACACACATTTTACATATACATACACTGTCAGATGTCTGTGAAAGGTATTTTATAGTGCATTCAAGATTCTTAAACTCTGACCACAATTTTCTTTTTTTAACTACCATTTCTTGAGTGCTTCCTATGTGCCAGGTGCTACATCAGGCACTTGGCATACTTCTTTTAATTCTCACAGTCCTACAAGGTAGAGATCAATACAAATAAGTCTATTAAATATACTAGAACCCCTTACTCTATGATGGGACAAGTTCTAACGCTTGAAACATCAATAAACTCCTTAGAACTTGTCACAGATAGGGTACCATAGTTCACTGTATTCTTTTTGGATTAATAAAAATGAAGGGATTCGTGGTCAAATAATTTGACATGTTAAAGAGATTCATTATAAAGAATGAATGGACATTTGGAAGCTTAAAATACTACATGCACTCTGTCTCTCCAAAAGAGCCATAGGTTCAGATATTACAGGTAAAATATGCACTGTGCATCCCAATCAGCCTTTCCTTGACCATGGGACATGTTTTGGCTAATGAAATGAGAGGTAGTGACATGTACCACTTACAACCAACAGTTTTTCACGTTTCCACGATCATTCCTTTTTTTTCTTCCACTTTAAGAGTTATGCATCCCAGGGGCACCTGGGTGGCTCTGTCGGTTAAGTGTCTGACTCTTGATTTCGGCTCATGTCATGATCTCACGGTTCATGAGTTTGAGCCCCGCCTTGGGCTCCAGGTTGACAGCACAGAGACTGCTTGGGATTCTCTCTCTCTCTCTCTCTCTCTCTCTCTCTCTCTCTCTGCCCCTTCCCTGCTCGTGCTCTCTCTCTCTCAAAATAAATAAATAAACGAAGGAGAAGGAAAAGAAAAGGAAAGAAAAGAAAGAAAGTTCTGTATCCCAGAAAGGTTGCTTCTTTAGGTTTGGTCCAGGGACAAAGAGGACATTGAGCACAGTGGCAGCTGATTCATCAAGAACATGAACAAGAGTGAGAAATAAATTTTTACTGCTATAAACCACTCAGATTTGGGAATTCTTTGGATAATGAAACATAACTTTGCCTAAACTGAATGATACATCATGTTTCCTACATTTATTGGACTCTAGCATCTTTTTGCCATGTAACATCTTCCAGGATCTGCTTCCTAAATTACTCTTGGTTTCACACGGCATCTTTTCTGTTTCTTAGTTAATACTGTATTTAAGATGATCATAAATGTAAGCTAGAAGTATATAGTGTTAGTCATCTTCATTTAGGCTTCTTAAATTTTATCAGCAATTTGAATTTATGTCAGTTTCTTATAGTCAATAAAAAACATTTTATTGAAATTATCTGATTAACATTCAGAAATCACAGATCAGAGGGCTACTTAAGTCAAGACCACCATACTAATGCTGATGAACAATTTAGTTTCCTGAACAGATCAGATAAAGTTTCCAGCTTTACTTTCTAGATATGTATTCATATTTAGCAAATTCAGAATATTGCCACAAATTTAATTTTCGTTAGGCCTCACTATATTCAACTCCCTTCAGTATTAACAATGGAGAAGAACAAATTTAAAATTTCAGTATCAATATTCAAATATCTATAGTCTTTTCTGCTGACCCAGTAAAACCAAAATCAACTGTGCACTAAACTGGCAGTCTTAAATCCAGAATCTGTATTTGAAACTTAATTGTGCCTTCAAGGATAGCACAGAAAGGAGGAAAAATGATAACCAAGTCCCAACTTCTCAATGGCATTTAAGATTTTGCTGGCGTTTAAATATCCAAGTAAATAGACATTCAAGCTAAGGTGTACATGGGTTACTGCATGTACAATCTTAGACAATGACATTCAGCAGAAGGGCTCAGAAGCCTTACATTTATACCCACGTCATAAAAGCAATATTCAATCATATACTTACTAAAACATGAAGGTAGCCACAGATATTCTAGACAGATTTGAAAAGCTAACAAATCAAAATAATTAAAAACAGGAAAAGATTTAAGATTTTCTATTAATCAGAAAATTAATGAATAAGTTCATAAAATAAACCCTAAAAACTACAACTAAACAATATCTACTAGATTTGTTCATTTTAATTTACATCAAATTCCTGTCTTTAAAACATCAGTTCACCACAAAGTGTTCAGACATCAGCAATCACACCTTCGAGTCACAGAAAGAGACAACTCTATGCATTTAAGTAGCCATTATTAAAATTAATCTTAAAATACTATTGCCATATCTTAAACCCCTTGAAAAAAAACTCTTCTCCTCTGAAAGTAACTTATATACAAGAGGACAGAGTTATAGTATCTGTGAGTTTTAGAGTTTGGTATAATTTGTCACATATATATTTTACAATCTCAAGTTTTTCTTCGCTGTGTGGTTTTCATATTCAAACAGTTTCATAATGCTGCTACACCTGCCTCTATTATTTTTAACAGATCAAAAAAATACTCCATAATGCTCTGATACAAATTCATTTTTCAATTAAAGCTAAAGGCAGTACAAACAAAAATAACTTATGGGGACTAGACCCATTTAATACTTACTTAGGTATATAACCTCCACATATTCAGGACTTGAATAAATTGGACATTCCGCCAACAGGTCATTACTGTGGGGAAACTAATCAGAGATTTTGACATAATTTTTTTAAATTCATGATTTTAAAGGAAAATTTAACTTACTTGATGGAGATTAAAATGTCACTTTAAAAAAAAGTGATTCACTAAAAAAGACAAAAACCACACAAAGGTATCACCCTTCCCTGATCACCATGGAAGGTGAACGTATCAGATAGGAAAAAGCGGAGACCAGCTTGGACAGCACATAGTTCTTGCCAGCTTCACTGCTTCCAGCTAAGTATGATGTACCTGTGATGCTGCTCTTACCGGTCAAGTCAAGACTTTCCATTGTGATTTGAATGGAACATCAGAATTTCCAGCTTCTGTGATGCAGCAGGATTCTGTGAAAGACCAAAAGCAAATGGTGAGTCGTGAAGGACTTTCAAAAAAGCTGACACTTCTTGTCCTTTAGCAAAATTATACCCCCAAAATGAGTAATGGCCAAACAACCAAAACAGGCAAATTAATAAAAATTCCTATGCTAACACGATTTAGAGAAAGTGGCCTAAAATGTTTATGGTCAATTTTAATTTAACAAAAGACAGTCACTAAAATTATTCAACGGAAATTCTGAGATTAAAGTTATAGATAGGCAATAACTTGTCAGGTTTTTGGCTAAAATCAAGTGTAGAATTACATACAAATCCACTGGAAAAACAGGACATTAAACTGACATTCTAACTAGATACAAGTTATTTTAAATGACTGGTCCAATCCAACCAGATAAACTGTGGTTCAGGTATTAATCTTATAATTTTTCTTTTAAATGTTTTAAAGATGAGTGAAGCAACACAGTTTTGTCTTTTTTTTTTTTTTTTTTTAAGGTGAGGAGTAAGGGGAGACGTCCACAGAGAAAAAAATGTTACCAAAAAAATTACTTTCTAGCTAAAAGTGATTAAGTAAACATAGGAAAGAGGATCAAAATCAGCAAAAGGTTGTCCACAAAAACTAAATGGAACATTTGACATTAATAATACTGCAAATATAGACATATACCTAAGTTGTATCACTTTTAAGAATTCAGTTATTTCAGTTTCTAGGTGAGATACATTTGTTTAGTTGCTAGGATGCTCTAATGGTAATACTAAATTCACATTCAACTAAGACAGAATTTCCTACCCCTTTGCCGGTTGTATTTCTTTACAATCAGCAAGCTACTCTGTACTCTAGAAACTGGATATCATGTACTGGCTTATAGCTCTATCAATATTATTAGTCATTTTGTGACATAACTCAAGCTTTTTGCCGAATCAGCCACTATGACATGGAAGCACTTACATTAACTATCAAAAATATGTAATGATTCATCTGAGTAATCCTATCTAGACTTAAGACAATTCAGTTACCACCCAGTGCTATTGAAGAAAACAGCTGCAAACAACGAACAAAATATTAAATGGTCTCATGTGGCTTCATACAAGTTACTACTCATACACCCATATTTTTTAAAACAAGAGTATGGATGAAACGATAAATCCAGATCTTTGAAGCAAACTACAAAGGACCCATATGAATACTTTCAAATTAAATGACTGTGTTTTTACTAAGTGTACAATTCCAAAAACCAAGTAGTGGTGTAGAGTCTATTATTAGCTATCATAAAATAGACAACTGACATTTTTAAAAATACTATTTAAAAAAATTCATTATCTCATATATTTAATCACCTAATTTTTTTCATATAAACCCAAAAGTCAATATAGAAAAGAAACATTAAAATAAACACTGTTAAAAAAAAAAGAAAGAAAAGAAAAACACTGTAAAAAATAGGTAAAAATCGTTAATAAATAATTATAAAAAACTGTTAGGTAAATAAATTGGTATAAATGAAAAAAAAATTATACTGCCAAAAATGGGAGGGTCCAACATTAATTAACAGTGTGGATTTAATTCTTATTTTGGTTTAAAGAATTGTGTTCTTTTTGGTTTAAGAAGTGGGCACATGCTATGTGAGAAATAAAATATGTTAATATATCCTATACACATAACTTCTTTTAGGAGCCAAAAAATAAACTTTCCCTAATCTTTGGGTACCCTTGTCGATGTGTTTGTTCATATAATCAAATACACATATACATATCAAAAAATGGACTCTAGTTACACCTTATTTTGATGATTATTCCATAATTTATCAACTGTGATGCAACTATCTGTGGATAAGTGGGGAGGGACAGTAAGGAGGCAGACTATGCTGTGGCCAGTAGGGGTTTTAAAACTCTTAGGGTAACAGAGAAATGTTGTTGGACTTAACTGACTGGGAGAGAGAAGCCAGGGAATCAGCCACGAAGTAGAGGTCAATTTCAAGGCTGAAGCTTCTGCCTGAGACAGACTCCCTTTGAGTTCTCTGATAGCCAACCTTAGAGCCTCCAGATTTTATCTGGTTCTTACAAATGCCCACATGAGTAGCTTCAGAAAAAGCAGTTTCAGCATAAGCTGCTCTGCATGTAAAGTTACAAATACTTCACAAAGTGTTATCATGTGATGGAAATGGATGGCTGTGTGAGGTGTCTGAGGACAGAGGGGGGCGAGCAGGGAGAAATGCCCAAGGTGCGAACACAACCCTGCAGATTGGGGGCTTGAAGGTGCCCTTCTTCCACAGCCAGGGCAGATTTTCACCTCAGCCAGCTCATGCCTGTGTTTTCTGAGTTCCACTTTGGCTTCTTCTCAACCCTCACTCTCATCCTTAGCTCACACTGCCTCGTTAAGAATCTGTTCTCTTCTCCTTTTCAAGACCTGTTTCCTCCCAGTGACCCCGCCACCCCCAGGGGATGCATACCTAGCAGGACTGATCAGGCACAGCTCAGGATTCCCTCTGAGAAACTTCATGGCAGGTGGGAGAACTATCTATTAAATATCTATTATTTACCTCTTACTGCAAATTGGGCATCTGACTTGGCATTTGAAAAACCTATCTTAAAGAATGGGCCTCAGCAACCACTGAAAGATCCCAAAGCAACTGGCTTTCTGGCACGGCTTACACACTGCCCCTTGGGGTGCTATGTTTTGAAAAGCTTATTATACTAAAATAAGGTGAGGTGCCACTTCTTACAATGAGACAGACTCCCAATTAGTGTTAATGTACAGTATAACATTCAAAGGCACATCATGGTAAAATCCCCTTCTATGCCAACACTGGGTGTTTTGCACCCTGATGTCATTAGTAGCCCGTCAGTTCAGAAGAGACTCCAAGGCAACCATGTTGCCCACTTATATGGAAGAATATTTAATCCCCACGAATGACTGCTTTTCTGATGTTTTCATCAATTCTCTGGATAATAGATTAAGCTTTAACTAACTCATTTTCATACATAACCTTAATTCAATCAAGCTCAATAAAAGTCATTCTGGACTGCAATTATTTGCTAAAGAACAATTACATTCAAATGAAAAAAAAATTGTTAGTCATGATACAATGCATGGTACAGATGTCTCTCCATTTATGGTACCATAAACAACAACAAAAATAGCCAAACTAATTGAAAAGGAAATAGATTTTTCCTCATTCTCCTGAAAAATAGAATACTCTTGGTTTTACACCTGAAGAAAACAAAATGGAGAACCCAAGAAAGCACACTTGAAAATTATTACTTCCAATGTTTATGCTTTGAGACTGCATTTCTAATCTGAGAGTCAGCATGACCTCTGAAAGCCAAAACAAGTCCAAGTCACAAAAAATAGTCTTAATACTCACTCTTTTGCTAAATCTTTCACTGGTTTCCTCCATTTCCCCAGCAACATGTATTCCACTCCCCATAGGTTATGATGTAGGTTTTCTTAAAAGATTTTTTCTGTCTTAAAACTACTTCTTTACATGAGTACAATTCTTATATTTTCCTCAATTCACTCTTTTATATACTACATGCTTACAAATAAAACTTAAATACAAACTCCAAGCTATTACTTCTGTGTAATATATCATTATTTGTAGTCTAAAAGATTCTCACTGGGGTGCCTGGGTGGCTCAGTTGGTTAAGCATCTGGCTTCTGCTCAGGTCATGACCTCGAAGTTGGTGGGTTTGAGCCCCACATCAGGCTCTGTGCTCACAGCTCAGAGCCTGGAGCCTGCTTCAGAATCTGTGTCTCCCTCTCTCTCTGCCCCTTCCCCACTCATGATCTCTCTCTCTCTCTCTCTCTCTCTAAAGGAATAAACATTTAAAAAAAAATTTAAAAATAAATAAATAAAAGATTCTCACTGATTTAACAAAAGCCTTCCCTGTCCTGTGTGTGCCTAAGGTCTTCACCCAATCTCCTCAATAGTGGCATCACACACATTATTCAATAGTACAGTACTGAAAATGCACATCAGCTGTTTTGCAATTTTGGGCAATGAATTCCATGCTTTAGGTCACTGTGGTTCACTCATAGGCCAAAGGATGCTTTTCCTAGAAATAATAAGCTGATAGTCTGACCTCCAGTTAAATCACTTCCTGAAATAAAATATCTTCATATAGACAAAGATAAGTGCAGATATATACTTACACACACACACATACATACATACAAATCTACACATACACACATATATATGCTTTTTAACAAGTGCTGTCTTTATTCATACAATATATTGCCAACACTTTCGTTAAAATCTTTATACTTGAAGCTTAAACCACAGCTATTTCACAGGCATTTTTGGCCAGGCACCAATCTTTAACAGAAATTACAACTGTCAGCTATACTGAAAATGGAAATCTCTTAAGAGAAAATGCAAATTTGAAGTACCTCTCTGTCATCTTCCCACGTAGGCCCTTGCATTTCCTCATGACCCAGGGCCTTTAGGGTAAGGAACTTTACATATAGTATAGTAATACAGGCAAAACAAGAATTCTCTAGATATCTAAGTCATTACAGATTTGTCCATCTGTTTGGAATTCCCAGTAAGCTGTTAGAAAACACTAGCAGGCAGAAACAAAAAATTCTAGCAATCATTGTTTGACACGGACCTCTTATGATAGCAAGATGAAATATTTGGAGGACACCTGGGTGGCCGGTTCAGTCAGTTAAGCTTCCCATTCCTGATTTCAGTTCAGGTCATGATCTCACAGTTTGTGAGATAGAACCCTATGTTGGGCTCGACACTGACAGTACAGGGCCTGCTTGGGATTCTCTCTCTCCCTCTCTTTCTGCCCCTCCCCTACTTGTGCTCTGTCTTTCTCTCAAAATAAATAAATAAACTTAAAAAAAAAAAAAAAGACGAAAGGTTTGGAAATCCTCTCCTTTTCAGGACTCAATACTGACCATAAAATTATGCTTTAAAAACTACCTACCATCTATCTATATGCCAACAGCACACAGATACAAATGATATAGCCTTTTACAGTTTGAGAAATTATTAATGACTTAC